GTGTGTGTGTGTGTGTGTATGTGTGTGTGTGTGTATGTGTGTGTGTGTAGGTGGGTAGTGTGTATCAGAGAACTAGATGCAGAGCCATGGGAATTTGGAAAGAAGCAAAGCTACCTAACCCAGTCTGAATCAAGGGTTACTTCCTGGAGGAGGGAACACCCAGACCCAGAAGGGAAGCCAGTAGGGCAGAAGAGCTAGAGGGAGCAACATAAATTCTCCCCACCCAAGTTCCCTTACTCCTCATCCCCAAGATACCTGGATACTTAAACACCTGTCTGGATGGCAAAGACAGAAAGGTCTCAGGCTTCTTGGGGACTTTGTTCATCGAGCTGATGCAGGTTTTGTGTAGCTGAATACAGAGCGTGATGGGCTGGGGAAACATGAGCTAGGTCCTTAATTGTGGGGCTGTTTCTGGGAGTGTCAGGGTGTTAGTTGGAGGCCTGTGAACAGATCGCTCAGCACTCAGGGTACAAAATACATACTGCCATTCCACCTCCTCCCTTCCTATTCCTGTCCTCCTGGGGAGAGAGTGAACAGACAGACAGATCCATGGGTACCAAACAGCTTTATTGGAAGCACTGTAGTCTAGCCACGGAGAGGCTGTGCTAATTCACAATCTTGTTCACACTCACATTCACACTGATTCTCTAGGCACAGCCCTCGCTGGGTAAGGTCTGGAGCAGAGCATGAGGAGACCTGGTCCTCTCTCCTGGTCCTTGGTTCCTTGGGCCAGGGAGATTCACATCCCTTTGCTCAAGACACAGGGCTCCCTCCAGTGCTGTCATGGTTAACTTCTGTTGAGGTTTCTCTAAGGGGAGGAAGGAGAAGCAGGGTCATGGGCTGGAATCTTGGACAGGAGTTTGGAGGATGGAAGCAGGGGTGAGGAGGGTCAGACTTGCCTTGGCAGAGGACTTCTTCAGGCTTCGGATGATACGTTCCACCCAAGGCTGGTCTGGGGGTGCGCAGAGCTGGTAGCCCCTTAGTGTGGTGAACCTGCATTCAGAGATCAGAGAGAATAAGCCCTGGACCCCAGTTTCCTAGAGGCTTGAAGGCTATGTGTGGGACCTGTTTCCGATTTATTGAAAGGTGGACTGAGCTATGAGTCCAGGGATAAGGCAGCAATGGTGTCACCCAGGGCTGACGGGGGAGATGGGTAGGGCTAGACATTCTTCCCATAACTCACACAACAGCAGGCACCCTGCAGCCATCCTTGATAAGAAGGTAGCGAAAGGCTTTCACGATGTTCCCAGGGATGGGGCGCTGGGTCACAGACAGGCAACAATCTTCTGCATCGTTAGCACCCCCAAGAGCTGGGGCTGAGATAGGAGAAAGAAGGGGAGAAGACATGGAACCCATGAAGAAGGAAGGCCAAAAGCCCTAAGTGACTTCAGCAGCATCTCTGGGTGAAAGAGAGCTGGATTTGCTATGCAGCCCTTGTGTGCCACTGTGGCCCCATTGACTGGTGAACATATGGTAGTCTTCTAAGCCATCTAATAACCATTTCGGTATGCCTCACAAATGCCATCTGCTGCCCTGGTCATACAACCTCTCCCAGATTTTCTCAGTTTTGCCCATGTTTTAGCAAATAGAGAGATAATGGTAGTCACAGTGCTGGGACAGGGGAGCTTTGCCTTGGCCAAGGACTTCAGTTTTATGAATTACCACATTGCCAGCAGATGGCTGCTGCACCTAGCGTCCCAGCTACTAGGGAGACTGAGACATAAGGACTTTGAGACCAGGACTTTGAAGCCAGCCTGGGTAACAACCACAGACCCTATCTCAAAAACCAAACCAAACCAACAAACAAGGCCCTTAAAAAGGAACAACAAAAAGGGAACAAGCTGTTAAGCATGCCCGCTTCAGTGTTTCTCATTCTTCAAGTTGAAGCTGATATATAGCAAAACTCTAACTTACAACCCCAGTGGTGGGATTGAAACCAGGCTTTCATATACAAGACAAGCACTCTAACTTAGTCATGTCTGTAGGTCCCTGAAGCAAGCACACTGTTCCTTCCTTCTGCTGCCACTAACTGAGATCTGCAGAGAGAGGGGCAGCCACAGGCCCCAGGATACACCAGGAGTTGAGCCACATTGGAATTCAGGATACAGGGACACTCATGCTGATAGGCACACACAGAAGGCACAGGGAGCCCTAGATCCACTGACCCTGAACTCAAACGGGGTCTTTCATGACCATTTTAACGGTCTGAGATGGAGACATTGCTCACAAACCATCACCATCCCATCCACCTTAGTTACCTCCTCAACCTTACCTGGGAAGGTCCCGAGAACCAGCAGGCTGAAGACCAGTAGTAGGGCCACACGGGGTGCCATGGCAAGTGATCTGAGGCAGGCCACAGAGAGTGTGTAAGCCTGAGAGTTCTTGAGTATGTGCAGGAATCTGTAAGATGCCAAGGCTCTGTGGGGTGAGCAGTAGAGTGATAGGAAGCAGGCGTCCTACTGAGCTGTGAGGTCCAGAGGCAATAGGATGTGAGGCTGTGTGAGCCCGAGTGAGCCTGTGTGAGGTTGCCACCAGCTCCAATTTATGCCCTGAGCTTTCACTTTCTATCCAAAAATTCCCCTGCCGTGGCCCATTTGGGTCTTCCCGTTTACCCCCCTCTGCCCCCTTGTTTTCTTTTGGCAAAACATGACCTTGGCTTCTTTCTTCCGCCCCTCAGCGGCTTCCCCTCTGCTTTCTTTGGCTTTAGCTCTGAGAACTTCAACAGTCTGGCCAAAAAAATAAAAAAAAATGAAAAACACTGTGTCCTGTCAGCTCCAGGGACAGGGTGTGTGCTGTCCTCTGTTAGTGCCACTGGCATTGTCAGCTGTAGGCCTGGACTTCAGAAGTGCTGGTTAGGGTGGGGTAGTGCTAGGAGCTGAGATGACAAACAGAGCTAGAAAGGAAGTTCCTGAGGACAGGGTCCAGGACCCTTACCCTACATCTCTGGCCCAGTGACTCAACCACCTGGATGTACAAGTGTTGCCCATTTTCTCAAATCCAATGCCTAGGTCAGAGGAACAGATGGAGGGAGCCTGGGCTGGAACAGCCCCCTTCCATCTTTCCCTTCTCTCAATCCTGGGAACCAAGAGGGGATTTCTAAGGAGAGGGGCTGGCCAACCCCTTCTGAGACAAACCCCTAAATTTCAAGGAATTGACAGATGGGGGAGAATAAATGATTTCTCATCCTTGTGAGAAAGAAGAGAAGAGAAGATCTCAAAAGAACAGCTAATGTGGGGTTTCTTTCCAGCCCTCTGTACCCAAGTTCTGGTCCTCTGTATGTGTGTGTTGTGTAGAAATGTGTATGCTTGTTTACATGACCACGTAGAGCACATGTGTGGATATCTGACATCTTCTTCCATGGCTCTACACCTTAGTTTTGGAGACAGGGTCTCTCACTGAACCCAGAACTCACCGACTTGGCAATACCAGTTGGTCAGTGAGCTTCAGGCATCCCCTTTTGTCTTTACTTCCCCAAGCACAAAGATTACAGGTGTGTGCCACTGTGCCCAGCTTTTTTTTTTTTTTCCTTCGAGATAGAATTTCTCTGTGCCTTTGGAGGCTGCCCTGGAACTAGCTCTTGTAGACCAGGCTGGTCTCGAACTCACAAAGATCCACCTGCCTCTGCCTCCTGAGTGCTGGGATTAAAGGCGTGCATCACCAACACCCAGCTTGTGCCCAGCTTTTAAGGTGGGTTCTGGGGATCCAGACTCAGGCCCTCAAGCTTGTCCAGCAAATGCTTTACTGTCATATCCATCTCTCCAGCTCTTGGATCCTCTTTTTAACTAGGGAAGGGGAGTCAGGCCTCGTACTCACACTCGGGAATTTGATCTAGAGTTACAGGTCCTTTTTTGTGGTTGTTTGAGACAGTGTTTCACTGTGTAGTTCTGGCTGGCCTGGTATTCCTTATGTAGTTCAGAGTGTTCTCAAACTTAGAGCAATTCTCCAGTTGCAGCCTCTGGAGCGTTAGGATTATAGGCAAGCTCACTCCACTCATCTCTAATCACAGAGCCTTTTCCCCCTTCAGACTTCAGGATGGTAATGAACCTCACCATAGTCAGACCCATTGGTGCCACACTATTCCCCAAAGCTCTTTAATCCTCTCAAATGGATGTTTTATTAAAATCCTTTTTGTTTTGAGACAGGGTCTCTCTCTCTCTCCCTCTCTCTCTCTCTCTCTGGTCCTTGATATCCTAGAACTCCCTTTAAACTTGGTGTGCACAGCCACATCCAGCTTAGCAAACTATCTTTTGAAATATAAACTTGGGACTGGAGAGATGGCCCAGTGGTTAAGAGCATGTATTGTTCTTGAAGAGAACCTGAATTTGATTCCCAGAACTCACCACAGCAACCTGTAACCCCAGCTCCAGATTTGACCTCCTCAGGCACATACAGACAAGTAAATAATAACATGATAGTTTTAAAAATTATTCTTTCTGGTCCCCCACCCCTGCCCTGTAAATAGTTATTAAAATCCTCGAACTCTCTGTAGTAATGAGAGTCTTTTATATGCTGATGTGATGAGATAAAAGGGTTGGCAATGTCAGTCTGAGAGACCAGAGACGGTTAGGTTGATAAATCTATAACCAATAATGTTAGCAATTATGGCTACATAATGAAATTTCTAAAGGACTAATATGAGAGGTTTCTGACCCTCAGGAAGTGGGGGTTCCTGGGAAGAGTACAGAAGTTCTGTGCTCCTCTCACACACCTGTGAGCATCTCTTTCATGGCTTTCCATGTGGCCTTTGTGGTTGTTTGAATTAGAATGGCTTCCATAGGCTCATATATTTGAATGCTTCCTGTGGTAGTTTGAATGTAATTGACCCCCACAATCTCATAGGGAGTGGCACTGATAGGAGGTGTGGCTTTGTTGGAGTGGGTATGGCCTTGTTGAAGAAAGTGTCCCTGTGGGGGCAAGCTTTGAGGTTTCCTATTCTCGATATTGCCCATTGTCTCAGTCAACTTCCTGTTGCCTGAAAGATGTAGGACTCTTGTATACTTCTCTAGCACCATGTCTGCCTGCATGCTGCCAGGCTCCTCACCATTGTTATAATGGGCTGAACCTCTGAAAGTGTAAGAAAGCCACCCCAATTAAATGGTTTAATGTATAAGAGTTGCCATGGTCATGGTGTCTCTTCACAGCAATGAAAACCCTATCTAAGACACTTGGTCTTCAGGGAGTGGCACTACTTGAGAAGGATTAGGAGGCGTGGCCTTGTTGGAGAAAGTGTCACTGGGGTTGGGCTTTGAGGTTTCAAAAGCTAAAGTGAGGCCTGGTGTCAGTCTCTCTCTCTCTCTCTCTCTCTCTCTCTCTCTCTCTCTCTCTCTCTCTCTCCCCCTGTAGTAGGCTTGCAGCTACTGCTCCAGGGCCTGCCTGCATGCCACCATACTCCCCACCCTGATGATTATGGATTAAACCTCTGAAACTGTAAGCAAATGTCCCCAACTAAATGCCTTCTGTTTTATAAGAGTTGCTTTGGTCATGATGTCCCTTCACAACAACAGAACAGTGACTAGGACCTCTTTGTAATATTCTCTCTCACAAACAGTATATGTGTTTCTTCAAGTTCTATAAGCAAATTTATCAAGCCAAAGGTGAGGCAGGGTGGAAAGATAGAGAAAACTAAAGGGCTGGAAGCAGGGAAAGGAGCCTTTAACCCCAGGATCTAGGTTGCCTGTCTTGCTGTCTGAGTCAAGAAAGTTTAGATAAAGTTTAGATAAAGCAAAGATTGCCTTCAACATAGTGTGTTTTCCTAATGAAATCTTAAAGAAAGGGGGCCAAAAACAACAAACGAATTCTGCTTTTACATGGTTAAAATGTTTGTAACCCTGAGTTCTAATATCAGTACCCGTTTCCCACCCCTGTCTAAACATCGAAACAGTACGTCTTATAGAACCACTTTACATTTGCATTTGCACAAAGTTCTTTAAGAAAATAAATTTGGGCCAGGTGGTGTTGGCACACGCCTTTAGTCCCAGCACTCGGGAGGCAGAGACAGGAGGATCTCTGTGAGTTTGAGGCCAGCCTGGTCTACAAAGCTACACAGAGAAACCCTGTCTCAACACCTGCCCCCCCCCCAAAAAAAAGAAGAAAGAACATATATCTGTACACATACTTTTACTGAAATTTTATTTTGCTCAAAATTTAAGCTTTGCTTAATATTTAAACATTGTTGTAAATTACATCATTTAAAGAATGTAACTGAAGAGCCAGGGGATGGTGGTAGTGCACACCTTTAATCCTAGCACTTGGGAGGGAGGCAGAGGCAGGTACACACTGGAGAGACACCTAAGAACGACTTTCAAAAGCCAACATCCATTTGGATGTGTTCCGTTTTTTGTTTTGTTTTGTTTTGTTTTTTTGTTTTTTTTCCAGACAGAGTTTCTCTGTGGCGTTGGAGGCTGCCCTGGAACTAGCTCTTGTAGATCAGGCTGGTCTCGAACTCACAGAGATCTGCCTGCCTCTGCGTCCCGAGTGCTGGGATTAAAGGCGTGCATCACCAACGCCCGGCTCTGGATTCTATTTGTAACCAGAGACTTCAATGACTTTGAAGCTGTCTCCAAAACTCCAGTCCAGCCACGAGGATGCAGAGGCAGAGGGTCATCAACCACCAGTCCAGGTTGACCAGATGGACCAACCAACTCACCTCCCTATGCCTCTAGTCAGTAAAATCTTATTAACCCTTAGACAAAGACCCTCAGTGGTTAGCCTTCCTCAAGACCCTCCTGCTGTATGGGAGCCCTGCATGTTTCCTTCCCCTTTAGGCTTTGTTCTATAATAACACTCCTTTCTAAAAAACTCACCATTTGTTTTCTGTGCAACCCATTCTTCTAGTTCTCGAGACAAAGGATCCAGAAACTGGTGGCTATTGATGGACAGGGACTCTAGTCTCCGAATCATGTTCACCCTAGGTGAGAAAGCCTTCACCACATGCAAAGAATCCCTGCTTTTCCCATTTCAGTCCTTCATCTAAATACCAAAGCTCTCATTTTTGCATCCCTCAACCATCCTGAAATTCCTTGAAGTACATTCAAACATCAGCTTTGCCTGAGTGGAGGATCCTGTGGGGAAGGGAACTCTTCAGGTCATAGGTTGCTATGTTGCGCTATAGCCTCTCTCCTGCTGCCACCCATAATGGTATCTGTGCCCTCTAATTCACTTCAGTTCTGACACCGCTGAACTGAAGACAGCATCTTTCTGACATGTGGAGGGCTCCGTCCCAGAAGATGACTTCTAGATTCAGATGCTGGTGACAGGCAAGGACTGTGGCTTGTGCTTCTGACCAACTGTCTACATATGCAGAGGTTCCCATGATCTATTCATCAATTCCCAGCTGCAAGACTGACTCAACACTGCCACCAACTGCCTGGGGTAGGAAGAGTCTCCATATGTGGTTATCAGAGGTCACTCAGGTAGTAGAGAGTGGGAAGCATTTGATCTTCCTATGTCCTTACAGTGAGCCACCTATTTTCTCTCAGAATCTCCAGGGACACTGTAAACTTTATCAAAAGAGACCCCAGGAAGAAGATCCCCAAAATGGAATCCTGGGATTGGGTGGCTTGTACTATATGAGTACATACATAATCTCTTTACATGGAGAAAGAGGGCCAAGGGAATCGGAAAGATGCGAGTGTCACAATCACTTAGACTATCACCAGTGAGAAGGAGGCACAGGATGGGACTTGTCAGGATTTCAGTTTGACCCTCCTCTCTCCCCAGTCATTGCACTGCCTTTTGAAGGAAGTCCCAGAAGACACAGAGTATGATGGATAGGCAGAGGTTATTTCTAGGTAGAGTTTGCACTCAATGGGGAGAGCTGACAGTGGCCAAGGTAACCATTGCTCCAATCTCCATTCTAGGCAGGTCCTTGTTTTCTAAAGCCTCTAACAAGCTAGATTTCCTAACGACTTTGTCTTGTCTATGTGACTGAAAGACATGCTTGCCATTATAAGATTTAGGATTTCTGGAGTCTGGTTTAGATAGTTTTCCATTGATGATCTTTTAATCAGTTCAGGGTGTCACATCTCCTCCCAGGGCCAGAAATATGAATTAGGTCTAATTCTTCTGACTGATACTTAAAGTCCTCCTTGGTTTCATTGACTGTTTCTATGAAGGAAGGATCCATCCCCGGTGTCCTCCAAGCCTGCTAGTGTCTAACTAGGAACCTAACACAATGTTAGAAGTTAAGACATTAGGAGATAGAATCCCTGAGGTACTTAATTGCTGTGCCTACAAATGATGATTGCAAGTTGTGGTTGTATATGTAATTAGATGTATGGCTTGTTTCTGATTGTGCTGGCAAAATTATGATTTAAAAAAAAAGACCAGATTAAGACCATAAAGAGGGTTTTTCCTTTTCTCCCCTCCTTCCTTCCTTGCTTCATTCTTTCCTTCCCCATTTCTTTCTTCGATGCAGAGTCTCACTCTGTAGCTCAGGCTGGCCTTGAACTCATGACAATGCTCTTATCTCAGTCTCCCAATGTTGTAGAATATTATTTTAAGGTGTGTTGTTTTTATTTATGCTGTATTTGTTTAACTAGGTGAAGCTGTGATTCTTTGCCTGTCTAAAACACCTGATGGCCTAATAAAGAGCTGAATGGCCAATATCAAGGCAGGAGAAAGGATAGGTGGGGCTGGCAGGCAGAGAGTGTAAATAGGAGAAATCTGGAAGATAAGAAGGAGCAAGATAGAAGAAGGAGAGAAGGATGTCAGGGGCCAGCCACCCAGGCAACCATCCAGGCATGGAGTAAGAGTGAAAGTAACATATAAGGAACTAAGAAAAGGAAAAAGCCCAGAGGCAAAAGGTAGATGGGATAATTTAAGATAAGAAAAGCTGGCAAGAAGCAAGCCCTGCTAAGGCCGGATGCTTATAGTTAAGAATAAGCCTCCATGTGTGATTTATTTGGGAGCTGGGTGGTGGGGCCCCTGAAAAACATAAGAGAAAAGAGTAAAACAAAACAAAACAAAGAAACAAACAAAAACCCCAACTACACCTAGTGCTGGAATTACAGGCATGACATCAAATCACCAAGCCCAGCAGGAAAATA